CTGCTGCTGTGTCCTGCCCTGGGTTGCTCTGTGCTGTGCCACCATCAGGGCTGGCATGGGCAGCTGTAGGGGGACGAGGGGGTTGTCTCCTCTGAGCGCTGGGCATGGCAGGAGGTGATGGGCAGCAGGGCTTGTCACTGTCACACAGAAACCTGCCCACCGAGCCCAGCTCTGCTTCGTCCTCGCTGCCCGACAGGAGCTCCGGCAGGGAGAGATGCCCAACAGCCTGGCAGAGCAGGGGGTTGTCTGCAGGCACCCCACGTGGGCCACAGCTCCCTGTGCCAGGCTCTGGCTCGCTGCCCACCCTCGCTGTGCTCCTTCCCTCTGTGCTGGTGTGGCAGTCCCTGCCCGACACACTGTCCCCTTGGTCAATGTCACTCAGGCACTGCTCCTCGGCCGTGGCCAGGGAGGCTGGGGCTAGGTTGCACTCCTCTGATGCCAAGAAGAACTCAGCCCATTCCCTGTCGTTCAGCTGGATGCTGTACTCGAAGTTATCCATGCCTGCAGCAGGAGAGCAAGGGGAGGGGATGGAGACATCAGGGCATGCACCAGGACCAGCAGATATAGGAGAGGTGTGTGCCCCAAACACTTTCCCTGCAGGTTCTTGCCCTGCCATCCACATTCACTCATTCCCAGCTGAAATTCAGTGGGAAACTCCAGCTCCTGGCAGGCTCAGCAGGATGGGGATGGCTGTGCTGGACCATAACCCAGCCAGCAGTGAAACTACTGCCACCCCCCTCCAGATCCTCTTGCCTCCCTGAGCACAGCAGCACAGAGGATTTGGGATTCTCCCTACAGCAGCACAGAGAGTTTGGGATTCTCTCCACAGCAGCACAGAGAGGTTTGGATTCTCTCCACAACAGCACACCTCACACATCCCTTTCCCACTCCTTTTGCCTACAAGCCATTTGAAAATGAGGGGGATTCATGCTCTTCAGCATTCTCCTGCCACAGCATCATGCATGAGGGTAGCATGAAACACGCTCCAAACAGGACATTCCAGCAGCCCCTTCCCTACCCATGGCCCTGGAGAGGGAGATGCACCAGAGCCCAAAAGCAGCAAGGGGGATCCAGCAGTAGGAGAAGAAAGAAGGATGAAAAAGCTGCATCCTACCTGTACCCCAACCTAAGCTGGGGATGGAGCCATTCAAAGAGCCACGCAGGAAAATCCTCCCAGCACAACATGATGCTGTACCCTTGATGGGGGCAGAGACTTGGGCTCCAGCAGAGATCCATTCAGGGGCTAAAAATAGACCTCCCCCCCTCCCTCCCCAGAGTGTCACTTGAGATCTGAGTGTGATGGCTGTGGAGAGGGCAGGGCCATATATAGAAGGTGGTGGGGGAGATGTCAGGGTGCCAGCCAATGTGTGTGTGCCCCACAGCCACGTTTGGGACCACTCCTGATGCCCATGGCTCACTTCGACCCTCACCTTGGGGTCACTCCATGGGATGCCCAGCAGAGAAGGGACCCAGACCACAGAGCTCACAACAGAGCAAGACACCTGGATGGCAACAACTGTTCTTTTTCCCACATCTCTTTGCCTCAGCCAGCATTTCTAGGGTGGTTAACACATCCCTCAGGGCCATGGTTCACCTACTGAGAGCATTCCCAGGGCACTTATTGCCAGTGCACTGCAGATTTACATCAAAAGATCACAGCCAGCATCACGGGCTTGTGATGAACCTCTCGTGGTGTGTGGCAGTTGTCCCACACTACCCCACACGTGGTCCACGTGGTGGAGAAGAGCCTTGGGCTGCAGGCTCAGGGTGAGCCTGGCACGAGGGAGTTACAGGGGAAGTGACTGGCCTGGCAGGTCAGCAACCAGAGCCAGAAATAGCCCTGAGCTCCCACGAGCCCCAGAGCCTGCCTTCACCACATGCCTTCCTGTCCCAAGGGCCAGAAATAGATGCCCTGAAGTAGCAGCTTGCAGGACAGTGTCTGAGTGTGAGGCCCAGCCCAGCTCCATGCCCTGCTACCCTGAGAGGGGCCAGCACTGCCCCAAGGCCACATCTTCAGTCATCAGGATGCTGGAGACACCCAGCTGGAGATGGCCAGTGGGGTAGATGTTGTAGGAAATGAGAGGGACTCGTGCTTGGGGGTCCTATAGGTGCTGCAGAAATTTAGAAGGACCCACATGCTTTGCATCCACTTTGGGGGTCCTCCAGATGCTGCAGGAGCTGAGAGAGACCCACATGCTTTGCATCTCCTCCCAGGGGTCCTGCAGATACTGTGGGAGCCAAGAAAGACCCACGTGCTCTGCATCCACTTTGGGGGTCCTTAGATGTTACAAAAGCCTAAAGGGACTCACACATTCTGCATCCTCTTTCAGGGTCCTGCAGATGCTGTGGGAGCCAAGACCCACATGTTCTGCATCCACTTTGGGGGTTCTCTAGCTGCTGCAGGGGTTTAGAGGGACCCACATCCTCTGCATCCCCCCCAGGGGTCCTGTAGATGCTGTGGGAGCCATGACCCACATGTTCTGCATCCACTTTGGGGGGTCCTGCAGATGTTACAGGAGCCTAGAGGGACCCACATGCTCTACATCCCCCTCAGGGGTCCTGTAGATCTTACAGGAGCCAAGACCCACATGTTCTTCATCTACTTTGTGGGTCCTGTAGATGCTACAGGAACCAAGAGGGACTCACATGTTCTTCATCCACCTTGGGGGCTCCTGTTCAGGACCAGAGTGCTGCCCATGCCACACTGCACGTTCCAGGGAGCTGGTGCCAGCTCCTGGCTCCTGCCCCAGGGCTGAAGAGCAGCTGGGCCTCCTGCCCTGTCCTGCCAGCCCTGCCAGCCCGGGCCATCCCATCCCATCCCACGGGCTGGAAGCTCCCCATCGTGGCTGCTATGTCTCACTGCACAGCCAAGGAGTGAGCCAGGAGCATCCAGCCCAGCAGCAGCTGGAGCTGATGTGTAAATATTGCCCAGGACACACTTCCCTTCTCTGTGCTTGTCCAGGGAGTTTGTCCAAGCCGAGAAAATCTGGAAGGAAAGAGGTTTACAGTCTTCTCATCCTATCTCATCTCTGATCTGGCTACACCCTTCTCCCCCTGACACGAGTCGCAGACGCAGAAGGGAAACCAACTGGCTTCCTTTTCTTGGCTGCTGTTGACTTCCTTCCCTTTGAGTCCAGCAGCCAGGGTTAGGGAGAGAAACCTTTCACTCAGCCTTGCAAACCACAGCAGAGCAGATGAAAGGGGCAGAACTGGAAGCCAGAGGCAGCCTGGCTCCTCTTATCAGAGTCACATTGCAAACCAGCCACACTCCAACCCCAACAGGAACTGCACACACCCCACCACACGTTCCACCCTGGCCTGGGAGACACAAACAAGACTCAGGGCAGGAGACATCTCAGGATTTGTTTAGCTGTCCAGGATGAAGCCCATACACTGTCCTTGGGGGAATTACACAGCTGCTGCTGCTGCTTTCCTCCCTCCTTCTGGGTGGGCTATAAAATCCCAGCGTGGCCTTCAAGGGCACAGTACACTGCCCTGAGCTCTGGGGGAGGTAAAGAGGCATTGTGGCACCTGCCAAGGATATCCAGCAGTGGATATGGACAGTCTGGCTCTGATTTCCTTCCTTTGCATGACCCTGTGCCTCTCTGGGATACCTGGTCCCATCTCTCCAGAGGAGGTGATGCCAGATGCTGCAGATCTGCTCCAGTACCAAAATTCCCCATGGATGGCACTTGCTGCTCCATGGGCAGGAGGGCACAGACCTCCCACTACCTCCCAGCACCTCCAGTATATTAACACTGTGGTATTAAGGGCATTATATAAATAACTAATGTCAGTGTGTAATTAGAGAAGGGCCTGAAATAAAGCAGCAGATGAGGCCTCTCTCTGCCTGATGACATAGGGCACAGTGTGGGAGAAAGAGCCAGGATCAAGGGCATGGAAAAGGGAGCTAGGGAGGAAAACTGGGAGTGCCATGGAGGGCACTTCCCTTGGGATAAAGACTCCTTGTGTGGCTTCAGGTTCCACATTTGAGATTTCAGCTGATTTTCAGGGGGCAAAGGAGCTTTCAGAGCTGTAGAGAATAATACTCTAAGATAAGCAATTTCCTATGCAGGAAACTCCATTTGGGAAAACTCTACCTTCAGAGAGCTTTGAAAACCAGCACTGAAACATCAGGAGTATGAGGGTTTGGCTGAATTCCCTGTGAGACAACACAGACAATGCAGAGAAATGTGGCTTTGATTACCAAGAAATCCTCCCTGCCCTGATCTACACCCATCACATGCTGTGTGTTAGGGGAGGAAGAGAGAGGAGTTTGCAGGAAAAGCAATGGAAAAAAAAAAAAAAGAAAAAAAAAGAATGGAAAAAGAAATATGTCCATGGCTTCAGGAACAGGATGACATTGGTCCTTGCTGCTTCTCTCTGCCCAGGGCAGACAGCTCTATTTGTGGTTATTTTCTCATGCTTCTTCCGTTTGGGCTGGCTCATCCTTCAGCCTTGGTCACTGATAACACGTGGCCTTGTCTGCCCAGCTCTGGCTGGTCCTTGCACTCTGGTCCTCCAGCCATTCCACCTTGTGATTTCCCCCTGATCTGAGTCATTTCTTCCTTTCCATACATTACTCTGAGGTACAGACTGCCACATGGATAGCTCAGCCTGTCCCATCCAGGACTGAGGAATGCTGAGCTACTTAGGTACAGCTCTGACCTTGCACTCCAAGAGATTTCCCTTAGGATGAAGAGAGAGCAAACAGGGAATTCAGACCTACCCCAAGGAAATCCTGGCAGGAACAGCTCCTCCACACTGAGGAATGGGTTAACTCTGCATTGAAACTCAGAGTGCAATGAAGCTGTAACCACCAGGCTGGTTTTGCTGGTTTGGGGGCAGGTGAGCAGGAATTATCACCCCCAAACCATAAGAGCTCTGCATTGTTTTTGCCTAAACCCTTTAACTATTTTGGTGGGGTGGGTTTTTTGTTTTTTTTTTTCCTGAAACTCACTCCCCAGGCTCTCTTAACATTCAAGCCCATGCTTCCCCAATGCTTCCCCAGCCTCCAGCAGCAGGCTCATGCAAAGGTCAACCTCCTCTGACTTGAAACTCAGCCTGCACTTGCCTGAAACTCTGCCAAGCTCTTCCAAAAGCTGTATCCTGGCTGGAGTTTCGGGTTGCTAATCCAAGTCTCACTGGGTTTCAGATTTCTCTCTGCAAGCTTTGGCTTTGCTCTACACGAGAATAGCCTCAGGCCACATCCATTCTGTTGGCTGGACCCTTCCAGCCAGGGCAGGGGTGATAGCCCCAGGGTAGGGGTGGCAGCCCCAAGGGTAAAGGTGGCAGCTCTAGCCTACTCTGATGCCAAGAAATCAAGGCAGACAGCTGCCTTGGAGTCACAGGACATGGATGGGCTCAGTATCCATACCCCTGGTTGGATGGGGCTTGGAGCAACCTGGGCTAGTGGAAGGTCTCCCTGCCCATGGCAGGGGGTGGGACTGGATGATCTATAAGGTCCAATCCAACCCAAACCATTCCATGATTCCATGA